TGTCTTTTCCTTCCCCCCTTCTATATTAATTTTGATTCCAACGTCAGATAATCTTGTTGTGGCACTTTTCGGATTTCCTGTGTGAATCTTCTCAGATCTCTTTGTTGGAATGCATGTATGTATGTATGGTGACGAACGATCTCGCATTCTTTCTCGCAAGTTGTCTTTGCTTTTCCATTTTGTTTTGTTCAGTAGATTAGCGTGGTTTCAACTTCGTCGTTTTTTCGGCATTCGGGATCGCAGTGTATGCATTGATCTACGAGTCCGAGTTCTCTCATATCTGGTCGATGTTCTCACTGCACGGGATTAGCCCAATCACTTGCGTTCGACCTGTGTAAGAGATTACGGGAATTACTAGGAATGTATGTCTACTCGTCGAATGTTTGATAACCCTTTCCTCTGATGCATAAAAGTATAGCCAGGGAGGGGTTGTTCTGGGAACGGGGTTGCATGCATAATCGGACCAGTGTGCCAATAGATTGCTCCGCCATTGGGACGCGCAGCTTAGGACTTAACTAGTTGGTCAGTGCGTACGCGCGTGGAAGACAGCAATCCATCAACGGATTTGCCATGTACACGCACGCATGCAGGGGCTAGTTATGATCCCGCCACGTAGGAATGATGTGTGTGAGTGAGTCTCATTGATCCGGATATGGCGATCGAAACGCCTTTTTGGATTACCGACCGCGAAAGCCTGAGAGATCCTGAGTGCAGGACATATTGGGAAAGGGAACAGATCTGACGACAACAATTCCGACAGCAACGGATCGGACGGCAACAAAACTTGCGGAACCTTGATTACCCCTGCCGAACTGAACATGAGCGACTGTGTAGGGGCAATTTCCAGTTGGCAATCAACCGGGACTCCGGAATTCCGGAGTATCCCGACAGTAGACACCAGCAATACTTTATCACCCTAGTCTTCGTCGCTATCACGACTAATTTCCCTCCCCATTACATCGTCCTCCCATATCACCGATTGCTAGTTACCCCCTGGGACTCCATATCCTGATTCTGGCCCCGGCCACCGTGCCCAGAGTGCCAGCAGCCCAACGAGCACGAACAGACGGAGGCCACGTGCCAGACTCCTCCCCGGAGAGAACGACGAGAACCCAGCTCGTGCTCCTCATCAGACTCTGACTCTGAGTTCTGTGTCGGACGATAGAGGTACGAGCATTCCCACAGCGACGCCCGCAACACCCCGTTCGTGCACCCGGCTCTTTCCCGGCCCCGGCCACAGGAACGGCGCCCACCCCAACTCTGAGCTAGAGGAACCACTTGCACTTCTACCCCTGAAACTTGATACAGGAGATTCTAGTTCCGACCTGGAACTCCACCCCCACTTTCCAAAAATCCTTGGCACACCCCTTTTCGCACTTCCAGACCCACTAACACTCCGAACAGGAAGTCTTGCTGGGCGTGAGGTTGGGCGTCACATCAGTAAGCATTTGAGGGATCATCTTAGACCAGGCTTTAAGAATGTTATTCCAGGTGGAAGTAGAGGGTCTGGTGGTGAAGGGGCGCATCAGCAGGGCGCTCCAAAATGCATTTCGGTCTGAGAGCTTCCATCCCTTAGCTAGGGAGTGTTGGGCAAGTATGATCCAAGGCTGGTCTTCTGTAGAAGTCATGGCACGGACAGGCCACTTGGCCAAGAGAGTTTGGTTCTGATTTTCTGGGTCCAGGATGCCTAGACCTCCTGCTGCTTTTTTTTCTGTGATTTTGCTCCAACTAACTTTGCTGAAGGCTGATTCTGCTTTTGAGTTACCCTTCCACAGCAGGCGTGTGAGGAGGCGTCTGCTATTGGAGAAGGAATTGGGGGAGGGGGACCTGATGGAGAGGATGTACCAGATTTTGGATGTTATGAATGTGTTAATGATAGTCGCTCTTCCTAGGAGAGATAGAAAGCGGGTTTTCGACCACAATGAACAGGCATCTTTAATTTTGTTTTCAATTATTGTATTCTCTACCTCAGCCGAGTCTCCAAAGGAGACTTGAATCCCTAGATATCTTTCGACTTCTTCTACAGTTTTGACTTGAATTCCCAGGTCCAAGGCGAGAGGCTGACCATATGGGGTGAGGGCGACTGACTTCTGTCAACTTACTCTCATCTCAGATGCTGCTTCGTTGGTCGAAAGGCAAAGTTCCAACGCGGTTAGTGGTGGGAGGGAATTATCAGAGATGGCTGAGAAATCGTCGCCCAATGCTGACACCTTGATCGAGTATGATGGGGATATTTGGAGACTTGTGTAGTCTGGGTGTTGTCTTACCATGTTCAATAGCACTTGTAGCTGGATTACGAACAGTGAAGGGGCTAGTGGACAGCCCTGGCGCAGTGAGCGTGTGACTTTGAAGGGTGTGGAGGGGTGTCCATTTACTAGGGCTCTGCAAGTTTGCCAGACGAAGCTCCGTACAGTGCTCTAACAAACCTCCTATAATTATGTCCCACCCCAACCTTTTCTAGTGTGGCTTGAACGAAGTCCCGGTTCACCCTGTCGTATGCTTTTTGGAAGTCTATGAGGATAACGGTTTTGTTCAAGTTGTGGGTTTTAATCCAGTCGATGGATTGAGAGATGGTCATCACATTGTCCAAAACCTGCCTGCCGGGTATGAAGCCGGATTGATCGGGGTGCACAAGCCTGTTTAGGAGGGGGTTGATGCGGCGAGCCAATGTCTTGGCAAGGATTTTACCATGAACATTCAATAGGGAGATTGGTCTGTAGTTCCTAACGTCAGCTTTGTTTCCTTTTTTGTAGAGAACGGTTATTATTCCTTCTGCTGCGTGTGGGCTCAATGGCTATTCCTTCAAAATCTGATTGAGAACCCGGAGGATATACGGTGCCAGTAGGGTCCAAAATTTGAGGTAGAACTCTACTGGCAGGCCATCTGGTCCAGGGCATTTACCCTTAGCCATGTTGTTCAGTGCTGCTGTCAGTTCGGATAGTAAGATTGGACCCTCCAGCGAGGCAGATTCCATGTTAGAGAGAATACGCGAGGTTGCGTCCCACAAGGTGTGTTCTAGGTGTGGTGGGATGATGGGGGAGCCAGGGGATTTTTCGGAGGTGAGAAGTTGCTCATAAAAATTTTGACGTACTCGCACAAGGTTGCCGATTCCTTTGCAGGTGGTTTTGAGGGGTCGTCCAGGTGTTCTAAGAGAGTGATGAGG